CGCACCCTGATATAGATGTCACTCAGAACTTAATAAGCTTTTGAATTTCCATTTTATCACAGAAAATAGAGTGTGAGAAATAAAATCAGCCAGTTTCACCCTAATGGACAAAGTAATGGAGAGGTGGAACTGACACAACACATTTTATCTGTGGTAATACCATCAAAATGAAAGCATATTCACTGCTGGAGTTTTCAGGGAATCAATTCAAACCAAATAGTGGCCCTTTTTCTCTAGGTTTTTATTTCATAATGGTTCCAACAAATACAGCACTTTGGCTCTCGGGCAACGGGGTGTCACTCAGGGCGATAGCAACAGAGTCATTTATCCAATAGAGTCGAGTCCTGAAGCCAGAGCGCAGACCGCGTGTTTCGATTCACTCTCTCTCTCTATTTCGGCTCTGTGAGCATTAGCCAGACGCTACATTGATCCCACAGGAAAGGATTAGCACACTTTTAGACCAAAGTGTTACATATGAGGTCAGGGCATATCAGATGACCTCTGCGGCTCGCAGTCTGGACTGAAACCGACTCGCAGCTCGCTTCAAAAGAGACCAGCCTTGGGCCCGTCATCGTGAATAGCGCTGAGAGAGCTGAACTCGCAGCCAGATGGACCTCAGCCAATCCTGTTCAAACACCAGGGACCGTGTTCAGAGAGAACGGGTGTGGTAGCAGCCTCGACAAACCGCATTACTTTAAACGGTTAAAGCCATCACCAGGGTTTATTTTAACCCTTCTGTTCTATAGAGACAGACTGTACGCTTTTATGTTTAGGGTGCCAGAAAAATAAATTAACTAACTACAACTCACATTTTATATTGTGGCTCCCTGAAAAACAGGGTGCGAACTACGGGGGAGCTAGGGGGAGCTCGGCTCCCCTTAAAGGGGTCATATGATGCTTTTTTAAAGATCATTATTTTGTGTATTTGGTGTAACAGAATATGTTGACATGCTTTAATATTCAAAAAACACATTATTTTTCAAATTTCAAGGGCCCACAATATAAAATGTGAGTTGTAGTTAATTTATTTTTATATATATACATTTTAAATTTGGCAGTCACTGTGCATTCACGAAAGCGAAAACGCAAACAGCAATGCAAGATTAATGTCACAATATATGCGTCCACATATGGAAAATGCAATTGAAAATACAATTTGCAATTCCTTTTGAAAATAGTACAGAATATCCTTCCATACTTTCTTGTATTTATTACTTTTTTATGTAGGACAATGTATATATAATATAAATCAGTTTTCCTAAGATTAGTAAATGCCATGAAGTATAAATCTGATTCTGAAATGTCATTTTCAAGACCTCAAACTCAATTTGAGGGTTAAAAATGGGGAAAAAAGAAGAAGAAAACAATTGTTTTAAAGTATCACTTTCAATTGACAACAACACAACACCTTAAATAAATCTTAAATAATATTTATACTATTATATATTAATTAGATGTACACAATTATTAAATATATTTAATATTATAATAAATAATATTACATTGTATATATATATTATTAATATATTTAATACAATTTTTTATAATTTAATACTTTTTATAGAGGACGATGTGTACATATAATATTAATTCTATATATAAAGATTCCTAAATGTTCTCAAACACATCTAGAGGGTTTAAAAAAATAGAACAATGAAACTGTTGTTTTAAAGTATCACTTTCACCTCACAACAACACAACGCCAGAAAGAATGTTCAAACAAAAGTTCCAAATTGAATAAATCTGGAAATCACTTCTTTAAAAGTTGTTTTGTTAGGCAAGAGAACAGCAAGGAGACTGCAAGATGCAAATCTAGGCTTGCTTTGTTTTTGACAATAATTACAGAAAATGAACAAGAAGAAGAGTCCTCAGTCCCCTGTGTTCTGCTGCTCTATTAATTATTCTGAGGAGGACAGATGTTAAATTGCGTATGCCCATCAGCACTAAGACTTTCACAAGATTTATCATTCATGTAAATCATGAATAAAATATTTCCTTGCCAAGAGAAAATGTTACATCTGTTTGGTGCATCACAGACACCATGATGCAAGAAAAATCCGAACTGGAAGACTCCGGTGACAACCTATACGAACACAAAACTGACAAAGTTTATGGAACTAAAATGGTTATTTTTTTCCTACACAGCATGAAATTAGATTAAACAGATGTTGAATTCATTAATATGAATAAAGCCGTTTTAATTTTGTTTTTACTGCACATTTGCATAAGACTTTAGTTATGTACCAAATAATTGAGACGTTTGCCTCTTGACTTTGGAGTACAATTTTGCTGTCCAGCTTTATGTTGATACTTCATTATTCTCATGAATATTCACAAGCCAAAGCCACTTTAATACAGTGTTGTGAAAACACGGACAATATTTGTATTTCTTTTCACTTCGCATCCGCCCACAAGCTTCGGAGGAATAACAGTTTTTTCTTTCTTTCTTTTTTTTTTTTTTATCACCGTAGGCCATTCTCGTCTAATGCGAAAACTCACTGGCCAGTGGCTATAAATATTCTTTAATGGCTATGAAACTCTATTTTGCATTAGTTTTATTAAAAATATTTTTTTGTTCCTATGACATCATCATATGTAAGTCAGTCTCTCATTCAAAATACACTTTGATTTTTGTTTCAATGGCTTAATACGAAGAATATTACACATATATGGAGCAAAAAGCCCAGTTTTAACAAAATGTGCGCAAGATGCTTTGCCTTCCTCCGGATGCATAAATAAGTAAGCAGTGACAGACAGAGTGTCATCTGTGAGGAGAGAGAAAGGGAGGGAAAGAAAGGGAGCATCAATGTTCCAGGAGGAGGAGGACGAGGTCAGGACACGAGTCGTGGGGACGTGGCCCTTTCGCGTCGCCCCCGGCCACCATCACGTCGGCCTGCCCTCGGAACAGACAGCCAGGCTCTCACAACAGATGGAACTAATGATGCGCAACAAAAGAGATCATTTCACTGTGGTCCTGGGGAAGCCACAAAGAGCGCTGGGACATTTGAATGATAGGGCCAGCCAGTCACTAGGGGTTAGATATGGGAAGCTTTTATGGAGGTGGAAAAGTGAATAGAGGCTCCCTGGCCCTCCTTCGGCCCCTTTGATGTCTCTCACAGAAACAGTGCGCCACTTTTTAAAAGGGAAATATGAAAAGTGGAAGACTAGGGCCTCTGCCAATCTCTTTTTCATCCTTTTTTATGAGCCTTGTCAGCA